GAGAGGTGGGTATGGGGTTTGTGCGGGCCAAGAATAAGGCTGGCCCGCGCCGAGACTGACGAGTGGAGGGATTCGTCTAGATTAACTAGGATTGCCAACGGATTGGCGACGGATTGACAACGGATTGACATCGGACTTACAGGAGATTGACACAAAATAATCGCCTGCGGAGTTCACAGCTAGGGGGCGACGAATGAGGGGATGTAGCCACTTAGAGCCGGCTCTGCCGACGAACGCTTGCTGATCCAACCCGCAGGCTCGCTAGCGCGCTCACGCTGGATTAACACACCGTAAATTAATGTTCTAGCGGCTGCAGGGTATATTTGCAAACATTTGCGCACGTGCATGGTTTACACATTTCCTTGAGGAAGGGACCTCAATCGATTCCCAGCCTGCATTTCCTACAACAAACTGCGAATTCATTAGGCTCGGAATAAACAGAATCTGGTCCTCACCTAACAACTGCATTTAATTAAATATTTTCATCAATTTTATACCTAATGGTATAAAAGAAGAGTGATATATAATTGAAATATTTAACAATTCTAAATCAACCTATGCATAGTCATACTTAGAAAATATTTTCAAAAACTAGCCTGCTCGTTTCCCACGCAAAAATTCCCTTCTAGAGCCTATTTGCAAACATGCTAACTTTTGAAACAATTTACTATACAGACGCCACTACCGAGTAAGCTGTTTAAGCTAAAAAAATCATATATCGTGCTAGCTTTAACATCAGGCGCGGATACAAGGGGGGGCCATGGGGGCCATGGCCCCCCCCTTGGCCGATTTTTTTCAAAAATAAAATAAAAAGTTAAAAAGTTAAAAAGCTGAAAAGGGGGCCTCCTGAAAATAAAGTGGCCGAAATCCGATGAGTTTTTTTTTAACCTACCCACTTAGTTATTTCTTAGAAGACTAGCTGAGAAGACTTCTTTGTTAGAAGATTGGTAAAGCTTTTCATATCTTGGAGGTCTCTTATACTCACAGAGATGACCACTTTTACAGGGCCTCCTAACCTGCACAGAGGGCCTCCAAGCCTGCACAGATGTTGAGATGTTGCCTGAACAGCTAGATAAGCTCAATAGACGCAGTTTTTTTTGGGGGGGGGGGGGGCAACAAGTGGGAAGATGGGGCCTCCAACAGGTGGGATTATGGGGGGGGGCCTCCTGGTTTCTAATGGCCCCTCCCTTGGAGATTTTCTGGATCCGCCCCTGTTTAACATACACCACATCGTTACTTACGGTTAAAAGAAAAAGCTTGCACAGCTCTACAGAACAAGAAGTGCCTGAAAGCTTACAGCAATTGATGAGAATCGATGAGAGTGTCACGGTTTGCAGAAAAATTCAGCGTGGAAGTCCGCATTGGTTGACTTATAAAGCCATAAAAATACACAGCTGGTAATTATATAGTCTCAAGAATTCTTTTTCTACAGGATGACCAGGTATGTGAAGGACGGCCGCAATTCTGACCCAGCCATGAAAGTGCCGTAAATGTTGTAATTGAAGTCCTTTACCGATGTTAAGGCCACCTCATGCTAGCAGTGACGGGAGTGTGACCATTAGCCAAGCTGTGAGTTAGACAGAATGGTTAACTTAAAAAGCATCCCCTAGTGGGGACTGCTATAAGCGGCACGCACACAAGTAAGCAATGATTGCACAGCTCATATGTACAATATCAACAACATGTCACATAGATGCTTCAGATAGCGTTGTTTACATATCACCCCTTATCCGTCGACTGAAGCAAATTGTTCATAAGAAACGTCACTCCATGACTGCTCGTGCTGCCGCATTAAAACGGCTCTGCTCTCTGGGATATAGACATATGACTTACTATCAGCTTTCCGATTAAAAAAGTACGCGGGCTCCGGCAGGCACCTTTGATGAGATGCGGTCTCAGATGTGATGGAAGTAACTGTAACCACGAGTATCCTTTTTCATGAAAAAAAAACTTCAGCATATCACTGTTATGCAATAAGGGACATCAAAATTGACCGCCACTAAGTACGGATTTAAAACGCATCTGTTCCGGCTTTGTATGTACAACATACTGTCTGACACGCATACCGCCTTGTCATGCCAGACTTGTGTAACAAAAACTACACACTGCCCTCGCCAAGCTAGTCGACACTCGACACTGTTTGTCTGTCTGCCGTCGTACAGCACCACTGGACTGTGGGAGCCGGCATGTGTTCCCGGCCCTCGCTCCCGTCAAACGCTGAAAACAGGACCTCAGGCGAGCCTACCAAACTTCAGACGGCGTGGGTTTCGGGATCGGTTAGACCAAACATCAACAAAACATCACTCAGCTATACAAACCGAATGGAAAAAGGCTCAGTGTGCTGGACAGTCCTATAATGTGGAATTGGGACCTACAGTTCGTAGCAGGGAGCGATATTTGTAAACCGGCCTCCAATCGCTGTAATTGACGCTATAAATCTAGATTATTGTGATCTCAAATTAATTTAATTTTGTTCGATCGGCTTTATTTGGATTTCATCGCTTCGACGTCTCCACTCGTCTATGTTACGTACTCACTATAAGTCACTAAGGACACATAAATTAGGTATATTTTTGATAGCCCAACGTGATCGTTTTTTTTTTTTTTTTTTTTTACTGTTTACATGTGAAAAAATGGATCTTCATTGACAGTTTTTATCAACAGCATGACAGTGATGTTACATCTTGGTGGACGCTAGGCTGCGCGAAGCATCTGCCCTGTGGTTGTAAGCTTATCTATCAGGATGAGAAACCGGACGGTTACGGGAGAGTCCAAAGACTGGGTATCCCCGGTACTTTACGGCCGACAGGCTAAGAAGGTGGGAAGAATGCATGGATAAATAAAGTGAGCAAGGAGCATTCACAGGGTTGCCATGCCACTTCCTCAAAAAGCATAAATGTTGACAGTAGATTTAAGCAACAAGTCGCACACACACCAATCCATGACTGAGTCCTAAATCCATGACCATTGACCAATTGACCATGTGACCATGACGTATGGCCGTAGCTCATGATGCGTACCTATTGCATGTCTGATGTCAGGCAGAGTAAGTCCGACTGCAGCTTTCGTACCCCAGTCCCAAACATCCGCTCCCTTCTTTCCACTGTCCTGTCTCCGACTAGTGTTTGTTTCCATGTGGTATCAGATATTTTCAAAACATTACGTCACGGGTGCCAGTGGGAGTCGGAATATTCATCGATTATACCTGACCCGAAGTGTGCCGTGTATTGATGAGTTATTCATGAGAACTGCTGACATCAGGTCCCGACTCACGGTCACTGCTTCCAGTTGAGGTGGCACCACTTCCAGTTGAAGTGGGGGATGGAGGCAGTCCAGAAAAGGACCGTCTACCACTCTACCTTAACACCCACTGTCCCCTCCCCCTCAGCCGGGCTCCAAGGGATAGATGGACTTATTGGATACTGGACAGTGGCTTTCTGCAGGTCGGTTAGCAACGAGGCTGCAGCGGGAGGTGGTCAATGTGGAACACAACTGCACACACTAGCCCACCGTGCCCGGTGGATACCGACCACCAGCTGCGGGACAAGGAAAGGAGAACCTCCCGCTGCGGGAAAAATGACCGCAGCGGGACACCGGGGCGAATGCCGGCTCGTGGTAACGTTTCCGGAAGTTTCGACGAAACGATCAGTCTGGAAAGTTGCAGGCTTGGAATCGAAGTCTAGAAATCGATCTCGTGTCCTTGGTGAAGTAAACATATTCTGCACGATTGCAGAAAATCTGCAGATGTGCTCCTGAGGGTCGGAGCAGCTCCCCTTCTCGCTGGTCCAGGCCGCGTCCGGTGGCCCTGGCCCAGCTCGACGGTACCGAACAGACGCCAATCTGTCCCCACATGCGTGACTCGACCAGCCCCGCTCGCGTCCGATGAGTGACGACATTGGATCGTCTGCTTCCGCTCAGTCAGCGAGTGCGCCCCTCCCCCTCTCTCGTCCTGTCGTACCCGCCCCCCGTCCTGTGCCCGCCCCCTCCCCTCTTAAACCGAGTGCGCCCCGCGCTGGGCCGTTTCCCGTTCGCGGAAATGTAGGAGCAGGCGGCTGCGAGATGATGGACAGTTGCCAATGACGACCGCGATCCGCGATCCAACTCCCGAGTCCCGATCCGACTGCAGGGCATGAGTCCTGATCGGGCGCAGGAGCGCGAGCATAAACTAAACAATCTTCCCACGCAAGCGGCACTAGACGGGCGGAAAAGACCAAGATAGGACCCGCGCGACTTATTACGGCCTCAGCTACGAGAAAAGGGCTATGTGACGGCTGGCATCGCCAACAACAGCGAAGTTGATGGAGTGGAACCATGCTCGAAGGACACCCACCGGTATCTACCCGCTGATAAAATTCTACTCGGAAGGCAACTGATTGTTCCTTTGGCAATAAACAGTTGAAACGGTGGCCGGTGACCGGCTTACCAGGCGCCAGCCGATGTGTTGACTTGAACTGAGAAGTTGACGGGGTGACAGGGCCGTGAGGTGTCGGATGACGGTTTGAGGATGACGGTTGGTGGATGACGGGTGGCGAATGACGGTTGGCCGTTGACGTTGAGTTGGTGGTTGACGAATGGCCGGCGGGAAGTTGAAGTGTTTTCCGAGTGAGTAATGAAAGGTTGATATCGGTGACACTGATACCGACATGATCTTAACATGCGGAGAGATAAACATGAGATTTGCAGCACGCCTTTGCAAAGTGAAGAGGTACTGGAGACATTGACATACAATAATTGATCGATGGAAGTTGACACAAAACTTTTGACATGCTGAACTGTTGAACAGCGGACAGAAATTACGAGTATTAGCAAGCTAGCAACAGACAAAACAAAACTTGGACCAACAATGGTGTAAAATCCCAACTGCCGAGCTGTCCTGCAGCTCGGCGGACAGCCCCGCCTCCCCTCGTACTCATGGTCACTGGTCACTGGTTAGTGCAGCAGACCAGTGACCTTTGCCCCGGGGGCGGCGGGCCGGAACGCCCGGCCGATTTGGCACTCACCACTGGAGACTTTCCGCTCGCTCCTGAGACACGTAGCACTGTGAAACGACACCGACTTGGTCTTTCTGAGCGGCTTCTGGGCCGGCCGCGGCTCTGGCGGCGGCTCACCGCCCATCGAGAGGTGCCGGCCCACGCCGTTCAGGCGGCCCGCCTCGGCCGGCTCGGTCTCACTCATCGCGCCCGGCGCGGTCACGTGCACTCTCCGCTGGACCGTCGGCCGTCACCGCAGCACCGCACATCACCGCATCGATTCTGGCCGGAGCGGCCGACACATCCCCTCCCGCCGCCGGCGGCACAGTCCGCGGCGGCCACCGACGGTCGCCGGCCACGGCCCACCCCCCTCCCCCGCGCGCCCCTCCCCGCCGACCAGACGACACACGGCGCAGCGGCAGACCCCCGGCGCGCGCCGCCAATCGATGTCCACTGCCGCAACACGACGGCTAGCACTGACATCTAGCGGTGAGTGAGAGACGTAGAGGTTTGTGGGTGGTGTACGAGGATAGTCAGATGACGCTGCTAGTTGCATTGCATGACTGAGGGATGAACCTGTGGGCTGTGAGTCCGAGCGGTGAGCTAAAAAAAGACTATATTTCCATATTTGCGCCCCTATTTATGCTCCTAATAGTTTTTATGCTCCAGAGTTTAATCCAGAGCTAAGCAGCATTTTCTCCCCCCGAAACTGCCTCAGCCAACAGCCCGGTCGGCGGCCTGACTCCAGTGCCGATTATGCTTAGCTGATGTCATCTTCCATTGCCGGAAGGATGCCTGCTGCTGATCGGACAGCTACAACAATTTCAACACGGACTTAAATGTGAGCAGCAGGCAGCTATCTAATAAATCGTCAATCATATAACATCAAACTTCACAACTTACGAGCGTAACCGCCTTCACGCTGTTAAACATTTTAAAATGCAAATTAGATGTTCGAATTAATCGAGCGAATAAAGCAAAAACAGCTTGGTAAACAACCTGCGCCTTTTTAACAACAGACTGCTGTGTCTTGGTTTCGATCCTTCGGGCTGATAAGGGTTTGCTGTTTTTCGGTTGAATAAGAATCGTACTCGTACCAACACGAATTACTTGACTTACTACGCCTTACAACTCATTTCTGGATTTTGTCGAATCGGTTCCATGCTAGAAAACGTCTATTTAGCTCAAACAACAACGCCCGATTTTTTCATTTTGCCGTTCTTCTCGCATGGTTGAGATATCAGTTTGCGAATGAAACACAACAATCGGTCTGCATCGCTGGAAATATATTAAAACGTTTATTAGAACGGCACAAGACGTGGTCAACCTGCATTGTATTACAATATAACGCATGACGCACTCAAACCGTTGGTAACCCCAGCAACGGTACGATACGGTCACAGACACCGCCTGAAGACATGTTTTCATCAAAGCAGCCGTCAGTTGTTTCCGCTAAAACTTGAAGCGTGGCCGCTCCTCCAACTTTTTATTAGCTGCTTCCGTTTCCGAAACAAGCATTCATTCCACATCTTTGCACGTACATAATATACACACGCGAGCGCAAGTGCACAGACACACAAACACATACATACAGCAGACTCGAGTAGCCTGACTGCGCAAACGGCAGAGCATGCGTCCTTCGGCTGGCTCTTTTAACGGTACGCACCTATGTACACTTCACGCAACACGGATCTACACACAACACGTCAACTACCAATCTACACAATACGTCAGACCGAAGCGAAACCCTTGGAAAAACGACGGCACACAGCCAGTGCCGAGCCCTCCAAAAGCACAAAACGTCTCGCCAAATAACGGTAGACGGAGAGATGTAACCCTCCCTCCCCCTCCCCGGCGGGTTCATCCACCGGTTCCACTGCATCACCAACAAGCTCAGATCACTATACAGCAGATCGTACTCTGCCCTCGGGACTGGCGGGGAACTCTCCCGCTCCGCTGTTCTCCCGCGGCGGTGGTATCGTGACGCACTTTCACGTCATGAATGACATCACTGTGACGTCACGCGCGCGTCATTGACACGCTCAGTTCTGATTGGGTCAGCATTGACCTTGACCTTCCAGCCGCGATGGTATTGGCTGCTTCAGACGACGAAGCGGTCTCGTCGAAATTCACCTTTCCGGCGAGGACAGCGACTGCGGGTTCGCTTGTATTTGCCATAGCGGCATACAGGCGCTTTGCAGTCGCCTTGCACAATACACCTATGGAACAGAGTTACCGGTTTAGTGGTGCTAATATGGAGCAAAGTATCGGTGACACATGCTCATGTAACGCTCAGTCATCAGTCACACAGTTCAGCTGAGAGTAGCTGATGGGAACGAATATTTATTGTAGAGTAACGAGAAGCGTAAGATAGGTATATGTAGAGGTCATCCACGTTATAAGATACATACAAAATGACAGCGACTATACGGTTACTTTGGTCAATAGCCATGTCAAGTTGTAACTTTAAAAGGCGTTTCCATAAAATTAACCACATTCTATAAGCATAAAAAGAAGATGCTGCTAAAGAATGGTTTTGAATATCGAATGAGAATGTTCGACACAGAGTAAGACAATTTGAGCGCGTTTATTTGCTTCTGCAAACTACCGCGCAAATACATAGCCATGTAAACGACTGCGGACGGAGTCCTAAATGACATGGAAATTGGATTCCGTTATAGCAAAAACACACGCAATCCTGCAATAGCAAGGACGCCAGCGTATCAGCGTGCAACTAAATTATAGGGAGGAAGGCCACGCTCTTGGCGGACCTTATACATAGTTCTGTGTATTGGCGAACCTTGTATGTACCTGCATTGTACACAGTTCTGCGTAAAGAACAGATATCTCGGTATGCTGAGAGTGCCCCCGTGCCGGTTCTCCCCCCTCTCTCTCTCTCTCTCTCTCTCTCTCTCTCTCTCTCTCTCTCTCTCTCTCTCTCTCTCTCTTTCCCACCTGTTATCGGATTCCGAGACATGGACTCTGCCGCGCTGTATCCGTTTGCACTTGCGGTTGCCGACGAAACAGTCGCATTTGCAGCGTCCCCTGGGCAGAATTCGCGGAGCGAACTCGCCTGTGCATTGGCACCTGTGACAAGACGGCATCAATGAACACATGGCCTTGATCAACTCGAATGGCGTTAAAGCTGAGTTCAGAAAGCGTACCTATACAAAGGTCACGATTGAGCATTGTTATTGCATATACGATATTGGTACACGCACACTATTCGCTGAATAGGCCTTCTTAAAAAAAGGATTAGTTCCAAGCTCAAGCTCAAAATGCTATAACTAGAACAGCTAAAAAAAGTGGCCCGTATTCCCGACTCGGATATTGTTCAGGCTTTAAAATAGTGGTAAGAGTAACAACAGCATCTATCCATGTTGGAGAATGGTGAGGCCCACAATACCGAATAAGTTCCATGTTTAGTGCTGACGTAAGTACCTACAACTTTAGAAAATTATGCTCAAGTAAATGATGTATAGTCGACTAAAGAATGATGTTCCACTCCTCAGAAGCTATCACTTGACTGGAGCGCTAAGTTGTGCCGTTTATCACGCAATTAAGCGTGTTGATTGTGAGCATTGGCACAAAGCTGTAATTTGTTAACTCAGCCCGTGTGATGCGGCACAGCCTACCACTCCAGGCAAATAATTGCCTGTGAAAAGTGGAACATCATTCTGTAGTCGACTATACTTATACTCTGTTCCGTTTCAAGTTTGCAGCCGACGTGCCCTGCTGAAAGCAGTGCGTGAATTCTGTATATACAGCTCTTACATTTTGAGGCGCAAATTCTTGAGCGGAGGAGCGATCTGCCGAAGAAATTCCAACTGCAAGCTTGATATGGAACAGACTATAGTAGGTACATCAACCAAGTGATATATAACGAGTCGGACGACCGACCAAAACACAAAAAAATATATTTTACTTACGTTCCTCCTGTTGCTTTTTCTGTTTTGCTGCTCCTGTTCTGTTGTTTGCTGTGTCTTTTTCTGTGTGTAGCTCCTTGAGTATCACTGAAAAGCATTGGATCCTTATTCGCAATCATTTTTCATTAATGGATCGATCGAAAACAAAGACTTTTTACTCTGATGTGACACACCGAGTCCCTATTTAGGCTAAAATCACTCTACGACCAACACCACGCTAGTCTCAATCTAATGTCTCGCTAATGTTTTCATAACGCCGAATTAAAATGCATTGGCGCATCAAAATAAATTAGATACTCCGCGATATCCAACGCAAAGCTGCTCTTTATCCCTAGCGGGCAGGGTCACAACACTATCCGCACGGCGCACTGACTTCATGGTTCAGAACCTACCTGTCGTCACTGGCCTGCAGGTTCATGGGACACTCGTCAGTCCGCCCAGCTACTTCCTTCTTATCCAAGCATTCGCATTCGGTGTCGTTTCTAAAAGTCAGATACTGAAAAGAGCTGCCCGTGTTTCCTGAGAGAACATTCACCTGTGAAAAGGAGGTTTGGTTTCCTTCAATGGCCGGTCCAAGTTCAAGGTAGAGGTTAAAGAAGGTAGAATGTCCGGTTCTAAATTAGAATCAATGCCTTGTTCGCCATTACTTAGCCCTTTAACTCAGCAGCCATGCAATAACCAGTTTTCTATAGAACAGACATGTAGACTTTCGGTACAGAGGCAAGTTAAGGACAAGGGACAAATTCACCCTCTCATCACAAGCGTTACCTCTCAACCAGCCCTCCCCCCCCCCCCGACTCAACAGAGTTTCATCAAGCATTCCTCAGCCCCCCCCCCCCCCATACGACACCTCCTGCTCACCAGCACGGGAAGTTCGACAGTGGCATGAGTCTTGGAGACGCAGCTTCTGACTTCGTCGCCGCAGCAGCCGGTGCGGTCGCTGCAACGTGCCAGCAGCACGCTGGACGGCACGTAGGAGACACTCGGGTTCGGGTGCTCGTGCGCCACGGAGACGAGCTCGAGCGCTGGCTTGCTGCAGCTGTGCTTGGCTACGTCGAGCATCATTTTGGTCAGCATCTCGTCTCTGTCACCTGAGGGAACGGAGGTACGCAATGTCAGAGCGATCGACAGTGGACAGGTCAGATGGGTACGGACAGACGGTAAGACGGGGCACAGTCAGATGAGGTGTTATCAGACGGTCAGATGAGGTACCGTCGAAAGATAAGACGTTGCACGATCAGACCAGACAGGGTCTGACGGGGCAGGGTCTGACGAGATGCGATCAGACGGTCAAACGGGACACGGTTAGACGGTCAGACGTAATACTGTCGTAAGAGCTGAAGAGATGAGGTCAGACGGTTAGTCAGGTTACGGTCAGCCGGTCAAAAGTGTTCGGGCCACGTTCAGACAAGGTACGATGCAAGTGAATATTGTTCAGAACGGCAATAGAGCGACAACTCCAACAAAGATTCATCGAATTTTCCATCCATTTTGCTTCCTCTCCCTCTCCCTCTCTTCCTCTCTTCGCTTCAAAACCAC